TCAAAGTGGTTAGGATAGATATATAGTTACATTCTGTTAATGAATAGAATGATTTGTTCTAATGGTGTTTGTAAATAGGATATCAAGTCCGCATCTTGTACAGCAATTAACCACTAAGAAGAATGTATGCAATGTGTTAATTATTAAAACTGTTCTACCGATTTCATTTGAAACTGTCTCATTGCTATTTGTTTATCAATAAAATTATGGCAAAAAATAAATAAAGTAAAATTTAAAAAAAATAAAGAAGAAAATAAGGCGGCGACCTGGCGCGGCGGTCTGGGCGGCGGGCGGTGGAGCGCGAGAAGAAAATAATGTGTGGGAAAAAAAGACAATTTTAAACAGTAGCCTGGAAAAATCTTCACCCCACTCATTACTCTCAGTAAAAAGAAATATGACATATCATCATTTATTTCTCAAACATTTATGTAGGTACACTTAAAAGAATCAAAGTCACATTTTACAACCTTCCCCTTTATCTCCATGCAGCTGTACACTAGAGAATCGAAGAGGGCTGGGGATACAGCTCAGTCACACAGCACCTGCCTGGCAAGTGTAAGGTCATGAGTTCAATTTCCAGTACCAAAAAGAAAAGGAAAAATAAAAAAATAAAGATAAGATAAACTCAGGCCGACGAGAATCAGAAGAGTTTCACAGACTTCTGAACACAAGAGAATCAATAGTCTCTTTAAGCTACCACTAGTTTTTGCTTGATAGTATTCAGTTTATCTAGTAAAATAATTCTTTATTTACTATCATATATTAGGTATTACAAACAACCCACAGTGAGAGCTAAGGCTTAGTGAGAGAGACAGATGTGAAAAAAATAATCAGGTACAATGTAATCAGGATACCAGAGCACTGACAAGGTGAACTACATGCTGGAGGTATCAAGAAGCTTGCAAAGAAATCTCTCAGATCTTCAGTAAAACCCTAAGAAGTCACCAAAGACATATCAATATGTAGTATACATAACATTGTCTTATAATCTTTGCATAAAGATTAAAAAAACTGAATTCAACAGTGTCAACTTAGATAGCTTAGATAAGATTACAACTAACCTATGTCAATAGAACTTAGTTGTTTATTCCAAGTAATCTATGAGCAGGAGAGGTAAGATTGTAAAAAAAATAAAACAAAAACAAGAATGATCGTTTTGCTTGCATAAGGATATCTTGACAGGCTGCAAACAATAGAATGATTATCTGAGAAAAGTTTCCTTCTCAAGACTCTTTAAGGCCCTTTTTTTTTTTTTTTGCTATGACCACCTGTCATAAACTATTAATTCTGCCAAGCCCCTTCCTTAATAGACATGCTATAAATCACTTGAACACAGATTCCAAAGTCCTACTACGACCTTCCTTCAAGGCTCTGAGATATAGCTAAGCATATCTAAGTATCACTTATTTTTTTGAACTAGGGATTGAACTCAGGCCTTTGTGCTTGCCAGGGAAGCACTTATTCCACTGAGCCATCTCCCCGGCTCTCACTTTCTTATTGCATAAATTGTATCATTTTCTTTATTAAGAGATCATCTGATACTTTGGGAAGTTCAACAATACCAAAGATGTTTTATAAAGAACTGTTCATTTAACTGATGTGTCTTGTGTAGTAAAATCATTTCTATGTCAGCAAGTCATCTTTCACTAACAGGTCTATATTAATATGTCTATGTTAACTGGCTTTATTTTGAGGGAGGTCCTATTTAAAACATAAGATCTCTTCAAGAAGTCCTTTCAAACTGACGATCACTAACACATAACTAATTCATTGTTTAGCTTATAAATATTGAACTGAGGAACTTGTTAGGAAATAAAGGTTTGTAAGCTTTACTCACAGTGCCTCTGATTCAGGGGTATTAGCACAAGGCCAGGAATATCCATTTTAAAAAACACAGAAAAAAAAAATAAAGAACACAGTTTTTTCCTAATGCAGGCTGTCTTTAGACCACACTTTGAAAAATAATGCTCTCCTCCTCCCATACCAGTAACCACATGTGTGTATTATACATACATATTAACTATTAACCCATACTAACTCTCCCACACATTATGAAGTGGGATCATAATAAGTGTATGTATATATACATAGCATCTCTTTTAGTGGCTATATTATATCCCACAATATATAGTAACCATAATTTATCCTTTTTTTTTTAACATTTATTTATTTATTTATTGTGTGTGTGTGTGTGTGTGTGTGTGTGTGGCCAGCTCAGCCCACCAGGGGGCGGGGCTGGCTGGCATGTGGTGCTGGGGGATTGAACCATGGTCTCTGTGCTTTGCCAAGCTTGTTCCAAGTAGGTGCTTTAGACCACTGAGCCATCTTGCCTGCCCAATTTATCCATTTTGCTACTGATGGACATTTAGATTACTAGCTTTTTTATTCTCTTTCCAGCAATGCTAGAATGAATAGCATATATATTTGAGCTGAATTTTATGTAGCATATAGAAAGTAGAATATCTGTAGAAAAGTAGGGCTTCTAAGTTAAAAGGATATATGGCGCACTTTAAAATTTGATCCCACTGAATTTCCCACCAAGTCATTTGTAGTCCCACTAGTCATCTTAGTGACTAAAAACTTCTACACCATTGCCAATACAAGTACCGATCAGTTTATGTTTCATCAATCTGACAGGTTAAACAAACACTTCATTTTAATTTCCATTTTACCATATTTTTTAGTATTAAAATAATTAGCACTGTTTGTCAGTGAAGCATAATTATCACAAACTCTAAAATGTACCGTGATTTACTTTCAGAAAACTTTGACTTTATTTTAAAACATAACCCTGTAAGAAAGACGGAATAACAGTGAGAGTTGTAAGACCTATGTTCAGGGTGTGGATTTGCTGCCGAGCACCTAGGTGACCTTGGGCATGTCACCTATCTCTCTGAGAGCTTCAGTTTCCTCTTTTGCAAATTTGGGATTCTACTCACTTTATAAGATTGCTTTGAGTATTAAATGAAATAATAAGTTATAAATATTAGCTATCACTACCACCATATTAGCAATGCAAGGTAAATTATTAAAACTGCTTGTCTTTTTATATTATAAAATAATTATGCTGATATTCACAAAGCCAGATTCTATTAGATAAATCAACTATTAGGATTACTGAAATCACAAGAAAGAATATACATTTCATAGAGCTAACACAAGGCTTATGGAAGTTGGTTCTTATCCTGTTTCTCCCCAAGTCTTCTTTTAACATTAATTTAGAAGATTTCCTAAATCAGTTCCTTAGATGAAATGAAATTATTCAAATATATAATTAACTACACACAAGATTTTTAAGAGGGATTTGTTTCTAAGTATATATACACAATAGTGCAATTCATAACACCATTGCTATTTCCTAGAGCCAACAAATGAAATTCTAAAATTTTACAGACTTTATCCTTACTTTCCAAAGCTAGCCTCAGTTCAACTCAGCCACAAAGTCTTATGCCAAGTACAAGCAGCATATTATTCTCTGAACTCAGATAAATTCATATTAAAGTTAAGAGGCAAAGGAATGTTCTCTCAGTTTGTTGGTGCTTCTGGTAAAACAAATAATCAGCCTTGCTGCATGACCCACAGAACGATTCTTTTTTGGATGAATGCTAATGGACCTCTGTTCCCCATCCCTAGGCCGTGCAAAGCACAAAAACCAAGAATGAGATGTCGCGGTCCTAGGGTTTATCCCCAGTTGCTCTCAGGGCTTCAATTAACTTAAGTATTTCTCCTGTACTTCCTCCCTCCATATCATGATATTTGCCAATTTTTATAATTTTAAATGAATAAATAATCTGGAAAATATTTTTTCACTTTTTATTTCAATAACACAAGAGGCAACATTTACTGTATAAAGTACTGCATATGGATGGAGAACATTTACACAAACATACAAAACTTCAAAAAACTAAATTCCAGTTGATTTCTATATCCTTAAAAGGGTACAGAACATGTAAAAATAGTCAAAGTCATGTTTACTTTTCAGGAATGTAAACTCTAGGAATACAGTTAGAAACAAGAATATTCACCAGGAAAAGATTAGTATCACCACATGATTAGAGGTAAAAATAAGAGGTACACAATAAACTTCATATGAGAGAATTGAACAGTATGTGAAATAAGATCTTGAGTTTTCTAGTTAAAATTTTATATTACAACACAGGTGCTCTTAGAACTCCACTATAAAAAAACATAATAACACATTCAAAAATGTTCACTACTAGACTCTTTAGATATGTACAAGTTACAAAATACAAAGACAATATATTTATATTGTGATGAGGAATTTAACAATGTTAAAATTTAAATAACTCAATGTATTAAGTTTAATTTCACTAAGCAACACATCTAAAAATATAAATCCATGCTAATCAAAGGACCAAAGTTTTAATTTTTCATTCAAAGATTGGGAATACATTATCATACATCAATTTCTATCTAAAATACTTAATTTAAAAAAAATACTTAAGTACACATCAAATTATTTGCCTTTTAAACTTTTTTGTATTTTTTCAGTTACATCATTTAACATGTATTTCCTTGATGTGCTCTCCTTTAATATAGATTATGCCTATATACTCAAACATTACACTGCCTTACATAATTCTAAGAGTACATTTTTTTTTCCTCTATGACTTAACACCTCAAATAGTTTCATTTTATTCTTCCAAAATAGGCAAAATCCCTTAAAACTGGGATCATTTTGGTCTATTTTGGTTTATAAATGTATTTATTAATTCAACTTTTAAAAAATGAGTAAGATTTGTTGAGTTACTTCACAATTGAAAAAGGCAATGAAATGCTGATTTTAAAAAATCAAACCTGTCATTTAAGGACTAAAAATTTCTATTCTTCAAGTCTACAAGAGTTTGCCTTAAAAAGTTCCACAATGAGGGACAAGGACACCAGGGTGCTTCCCTATGGCTTTAAAGAGAGAATGTCATTGTGCCCTGGAGCTCTGGGCCACTCCCTTATTACTTTGCTTCTCTTCCCACTTGGGTCTCAAGAGGTCAATGCTAGATCCAGCTTCACTAGATCATCCAGGAAGTTGGGGTTCAAAAGTAAGGTTGGGTGACTTCAAGACTCCTTAGAGGCTTAAAATGTGGAAAAGAACTTTAATTTCTCTTCAGATCCTCTCCACTATGGGGAAAATAACCAGAGTTTCATGTGGAGTCTTCCCTTGATAAAAGGTATTATTCTGGATACTCAAGGGACCTGCAAGCATTAGCTTCTTTAAAGGCATATAACCTAGGAAAGACAACTCACATTACAAGACAAATAGGGAAAGAATAGTATGGTCAGCAACAATTATTTTTGTAGTTAATTATTACAGTTAAAAATTGTCACTGCATAATTATTTGAAATAGTATCAAAAGTACTACAAAGAATTTTACTGTTTATTCCACAGTACAAAAACCAAAGTGGTGCAAATCACTTGAAACAAAAATTCAGAATCACCCCCACTGAATAAGAAATTTTTAAAACAAAGAATATACACAGATAAATTTGATGTACATTGTATAAAAGTTTAAGTACAAAAGGTATAACCTCACATACTTAAACTTACAGACATCTATACCTCTGATTTTATTTAGGATGAACAAGAAAACTATAAAATTTACATTTTTATTGCAATAATAAGTACAGATCGTTAGGAATTCAGAATTAGAAGATACATCATGAGTCAATGCTATTAAAGTTAATTAGCTGTTAAAAACAATACAGGTTATGATATTTGATATTAAATATTTATTTGATCTAGGGTTGTGAGACCACTGAGAAGCCTGCTATCTTCTCAAATGATAACATCCATAAAAAATCTTGTTAAAATGTCAATTTTTATTCACATGGCCTGGTCTTGATATTTAGAATTTTTACCAAAATGGCTGATGATGTGAATTGTCTTTACTGGTCCACAGCCATGTTAATAGAAAAGGTCTAGAATGATACCAAAATCAGGTTTCATTACAGTGCTATAATATTAAAATATGTTCTCTTGTCTGGGCCAGCTAATGTTTCTTCAAATTTACTCTTCATTTCTAAGCTTCTTGACTTACTCAAAATTCCAAACTTTTAACTCAATACCATAATGTCAATACTGTTAGTAACTCTGCATGAATGAAAGTTTGCTAAAGAATTAGGAAAAGACAATAGGAAATTCACAGTGATACTTTACATATATTTCAAATTGTATACAGGATTGCTATTAAATTAATACAAAATCAGCTCTAATTGCCTTCCAGTTTTTGACTACCAGTTATGTCTATGGATCTTACTCCATTTTATTACTGGAACTAAAAATATCAGATTCATTTATGGTAAAAAACCACATTATATTCAAGGCTAATGAGTGAAAACTAGTTCATGACTTTTGAAGAACTAGGTTTAAACTGATGAGCAAAGCAATATGGTTAAAACTGCACTTGATATAAATGCCTAGCACTGTTCAATACATACAGGGTTTTACATACTGTATTTGATCTGTGCATGAACAAGTACAAGGGGAAACACTAGCATGTTTTCTTTGTGACCACAGCTAGGAAGCACAAGTAAGGAAACTTCTGTGTGCTAAAAATTAAAGCACTCAAGAAGTGTACAGCTTCCAAGGCCTTCTTTCCCAGCTACCTACTCTCATTGTCAGCCCTGTTCTCCAGTCTCTCTCTCCATTTCTTCCTCTATCTCTCTGAATTATTAAGTATAATTTGCTTTACAGAAAACCTCAACAATAGCTGAAATGGCTACCACTAACAAACACCAAATACCAAGACTTTACGTCTATCTAGAGGCTCTAGTCTCTTGTAGCTACATGTAAGCTTATTTAGCTTTTCTGCCTGCCTGCCTTTCTTCTTTTTATTTGTGGTTAGAGGTAAATGATTATTCTTGCTATATCATAAAAAACCATTTAAATAGATCTGTTCATGATCAAGAAATACATTTAATTTTTTCATATTTATTTAAGAAGACAACTTTAAATTAGTTAATATACAGATATCCTTTGCCCATATTTCACTATATATTTTCTTTTATGACATCTTACAGATGAAAAGTGATTGGTATCTAATTTCCTTCATTTGCTGATAAATGATTCAATATCATACAGTTCACACTGGTATTTTGAGAGCTGCGTTGCAAGATTTACAATGATTTCCAGGAAGTCTTCAGTGATGTGTGCTCTGAATTATAGGAATCCAACCTAAATCAATCAGCTTTATGGCCTATTATAGGAATTTAAAGGAATTTTCACCTGCTAAACCCAGACCAAACACTTCATAACAACATTATCTGCCAGCAACCTGATATGCAAACATCCTAAGGAGATCAACAAAAATGCCCCTGCCCATCTATCTCCTGGAGCCACATAATAATCACAAAATAACTCATCTGTGAGTTGTCAGCCATTTTCCAGTGCTTTGAACAAACTGTTCTAACCTTAAAGATGATCTGGTTACAAGTAATTTCTACTAGCACTTTTCATAGTAAACATTTTGTTTATTCATGTGCCTGTTTTTCAGGGCAGCTGACTGAAAGGCCAACTGTGGAATTCCTGAATGTGCTCCTCTGTCCCATCTTTTATGAGCCAGTCTCCTTCTGTGGAGATGCCCTTTGACTTTGAAGGGCAAACACACAGCTACCCAAGTAGAAGATATTTAAAACAAACTAAAAACGTCACAGGAGATGTAAGCAACTTAATCAGACAACCTGCCAATATTTATTGTCACACCACAATCTTAGAACAGTAACAATGAAAAAGAAAAAGACTCAAATGGGTAGGGGGCAGACCAAGAAATAACAAAACCATTATTTCAACTTACTGCAACCTAGACATCATTCCATTCACTAACCTAGACATTATTCCCTTCATCAAAGTCAAGGGCTCATGTTAGGAACAGTCATGAAAGAAGCAGGGCACTTTCATTAAGGAGCAGTCATATTTCCATATTTACTGGGTATAAGAAGAAAACTATGTTACACTTCAATCGGTGGACAGAGTAATGCTAATACTAGGAGGTCTCTGCTGACCTGCTTGATACTTCACTGGAAGCTCAGTCCTTTCTGAAACATAAATGAGCTTTTCTTCTTGGAGACTACAGGCAGAAAACCTATTGGCATCTGTCCCAGTCCCACAACCAACAGCAGATGATGGGTTATGTGGGACTGTGACACCACTGACTTGTTCAAAGGATTTGCTAAATACAGTCGCTGCCGTCTTAGCCAAACCATGGCTATTAGGCTTAGGTAGGGACTGGCTGGTTGTTAAAGTTAGTCTCTTCAAAGAGAGAAGCTCAAGATTCTCACTTTGGGCTCTCTGAGTTTGTTTTCGAGCAAAGTGATCTTTGTAAGATTCCCCTGTAGCTTCTTTTTCTTTTCCTCCAGTTTTGCTTCCTCCTGACCGTCTCTGGTTCTTTCCTACACTTGTCTTGTTACTACAATTGTGACTACTGTTTGATAAACCCGACTGGCTGGTACTAGAAGCAGCCCTGGAATAAAATCCCTCGTCAACTTCAGATATCTCCATCAGTTCTTCTTGACCTGTAAATTCTGTATTTCCTAAACAAAGAAATGACAAAGATCAATTAACATTAAATATCTTAAGCAATTTTTAAAAAAAGATTAATACCAAATCAATTATGTTTAAATCAATTAAACTGTAGCATAATTTCACAAAGCAATAGATTTATAGAACAAAATCAAAGGATAAATTGAAAATTTATTCTATAAAATATAAAAAATTATTGATTGTAATTAAATGACAGTAATTTAGAGTACATTAAATAAAAAGCATGCCATAAATCATACTCTACTGTGTTTTTAGAAAGAGTTTCTCTATTATTCATGCAAAGATCAGTGACAATTAGAAAAATTATTGCACATCAAAACTAGGGCACAAAACCTTCCCCAGGAGCAAAGCAGTAAAATCAAAGCTATAGCCAAATAATTTTTTGAAAAAATAGCATTAGAATATTTTTAAGTGTTTTCTTAAAGGGTTGCATTCTCCATTCTTATTATTTTACTAAAGGAAGAAAAATCTAGATTTTCATATGTCACAAGCTTGAAACATTAAAATAATATTTATCATTCATATAATAGATAGCAAAAATATATAAATTAAAAAATAATTTCAGATACCAAAGCATAAAACAGAAAATTGCTTTAGGAACAATTTTCTGCCTCAGTTTTCATAACAATTTACTGAGAGACAATCTAGGCATGACCATTCCAAACAACATTGAGTTATTGAGAAAATGTGATGCATAATTCATGCATTTTATTAGATGACATGCAAAAAATTTGTGACTGCAACTGCTGCTAAACATGCATCAGTGGCCCTTTGCCCTGAGATACCTTGGAGTGCAGCTATAAAGTGCTCTGCTAAAACTGCACTCTGCCAGGTGAGTTTATTCCATCCTCCATCATTTTTCTCACAGATTTTTGCCTCCTGATCTCTGGCAAGCCTTTGCTCTCAGCTCTAGGATCTGTGGCTGTTTCCTGCACACCCTGCATATGCTGAGCATCAATCTCTCCTAGTGTTCTGCCTTTTTCCCCATTCCCGGTTCTCTCTCCGGACACATTTGTGACACTAATCTCAGGAATGACAAGGATGCCCAATTCAGTAGTATCATTATTGTTGTCAGGTTGCTCTAGAATTGAAGATGATAAGACAAAATGATGGCTGAAAACAAAATAAAAATGAAAAACAAGAAAAACAAAAGTTCCAAACAAAAGCTGGACAACAGAATGTTATGAATTAAGCCAAATATTCACATCATTTACAGTACTTGGACATCACTGGAGACAACAGGGTCATGTTACTTAATTTTAAATGAGAAAAAAAATTCAGAGCATCAGTACATGTTCTGAATTTTTTCCATACTTATTTCACATAGAACATGAAACAAAAATTTTAAATAAATGAAAATATCATTTTTATTGTTCTTAAAGATGATATTGTGACTACTTGAACTTATGTGAACCCTTAGGCAAATACTGAAGGATATATAGGCAAAACTGTAGCTCTTGTCAACATTAGAAACCATACTACTTAGAAATTCCCCTTTATATACACAAAAATCTATTTTTTTAATCAGACTACATTGGGACTGACTTAATGAACTATGACATTTGGGGAAATGTTTATTCAATTATGACATGACTAACAATACAACCAGTATAGTTTTTTTTCCATAATTTTATTGAGAAACAAATAGTAATGAGACAATTTCAAATCAAATTAGTAGGACAGTTTCAATAATTAACACGTTACATACATTAGAAGCAGCTAGTCTCATTTCTTTTCTTTTCTTTTTTTTTTGTTTTGTTTTGTTTTGCAGTGTCAGGGATTAAACACGGGACCTTGCAGTTGCCAGGCAGGTGCTTAAGCCACTGAGTTATATCCTCAGCCCAAAAATGGCAGGAAGGTTTTTTTTGGCTGGCTCAGAATGCCTTCAGGGCATGTTTGGCTGGCTGGAGTTGTGGGGATCGAACCAGTGCAACCTACTGCTTTGTTGACATAGCCACTTAAACAACTGAGCTAAGGGGCAGGCCCCCCAACCAGTATAGTTTTTGTCTCACATACTACAGTAAATATTACTATGGCCAAGATAGAATTAAGCTATTGGTTTCTTCAGACTCATACCAATTCCCCAAATTTAGGCCAACTGTAATAGTTACTATACTAGAGAAAAATAAAAGGGCGCAATTTTATTTAAAGCTGTCAAGTAAATATCTGTAGTAAATAGAGGAAAATAACATAAGTAGATCTAAAATGAGCCAGTAATGAAACTTAAAAGTTCAAAACAATATAAGGTCATATATGACAGTATATACTATATAAAAAAATGTAGGCTACAAATCTGCTAGAAGAAAATTACCTTGTAGTTTCAATTTTTTGATTAATATAAATATCAAACTCTCACCAATGGTGCTAAAGGTTGAAAAACATAAGGCAGTAAAAGAATGGAGGCTAGAGCCATGTGTTCCTGACTCTGGCACACCGGTAATCACCTGGATGTCTTTAAGAACTGCAGATGCCTGGCTCCCACCCATAGACATTCCAATTCACCTTTAACACGAGGTATAACCTGGTCATTAGGAGTTGACTAATATGCAATAAAGTTTGAAAAGCCCTATTTATTCTGATTCTCCCACATTTTGAAAACTTTAAAGTTGTTATGGGCGTCTTACACACTCCAAGCCAGCAGCAACACACACCTATGAAAGTTTCCTCAAAGCTTCTGCTGCTCTGTGCTGGTGAACTAATGCACTCACAATTATTTCACCACAACTTAGTGCTTCATATATTTTTAACTAAAGGTTCTCTAAGTGAAATCTGCAGTTTAAAGACAGGCCAAGGAATGTTGGTAAGATAGCAGTACACTGCTGCTTCTGGGTCCTAATGAAGGAAGGTTTCATGGGACTAAAAAGTTCCAGTCAAGTCTATTTGCAATTGCTAACAGCTGTCTTAGCTAAAGAGAGGCCAAATAAATTCTTACTGAGGTACATCCCAGAGGTCAGTGCAACTTAAGAGTAAAACCACCATGGTGCTGTTGGGTGACAACCAAGACCTGTTCATTTATACTGTAGAAGTTATTTCAAAAAGAGTATTAATGAACCTTCAGTTCAAAAGGAAAAATTATAAATGCTAGAAATTATCCAAGTAGAACAAAGCCAATGAATATTAAAATTTAACAAGAGCTTAATATAGGCATAGACAATCTAACAGAATAGACAATACTGAATAGCACTAAATAGTTCTGTGGAGAGTGTTCACATATATCATGCAGTTATATTCTCAAAACAGTGTGTTAAACCTCTGAAGTAGGCCATTTGACTCCCATTTACAAGAAAGGAAACTGAAGTCCAGAAAAAGCTACAGGGTTATTCAGTGAGGAGTTAAACAGTGGAATCTTTTGACTTCAATGTCCATTTTTAAGATACAGATTCTAACTCAATTCATTAAAGTCAATCTGAATTCAAACTCTTCTGACATCTCCAAATTAGATTTAATCTATTAACTTAGGTTCCTGGTCATTTAATAGAAAGCCAATAATTTACTTTGCCTGAACAGAGAGCCAGAGCAAATAAATTCTTGAAGAAAACCTAAGAAAAGTCATACCTCTGAATTTTAGGTTTTTAAATTTTTATTTCTTTTTTTAAAGATGCTAACATAAGTTATTAATTTAAATAGGGCCTCAATGGTAGCAATTTGAAAAAAAACCTAGAAAATGATAAGAGGAATATTATACTGAGCAGCAGTTGCCAAGTGAACTGTTAATCACCACTTACAGGACAGTGATAAAAATCCACAGTCTAAGAAGAAATTATATTAAATTTATTTCAATCATGAAATTAAACGGCATGTAGAAAAATTGGATCATGTATCTTCCAAAAGAATAAATCTTTGACTAATTAATATATATGCTATATTAATATATATACTATCAGCAAGAAATGATAATGGATTTTTTTCCTTTTTTATGTATTTTATGTATTTGGTACAGGGTCACTATGCAGCTCAAACTCTAGTGATCCTCCTGTTTTCAGCCTTCCCTGCCCGGGGATTAAAGGCATGCACCACCACACCCAGAACTGGTCATTGGCTTACCACCCTGGTACCTGCCTTTGCCTAAGCAGGCACTTGGTCTGCTGAACTATCTCACCAGCCTGATAATAGGTTTTTAAAATTACCTACTAAATTCACAAATGGAAAAGCACGTAATCTATACAGAGCAAGAAAGAATGGAAACATTAATTTGCAGGAAAATTACAGTCTAAAATAAAATAATTCTATAGACCAAACAAGCACTTGTTATATGATCTGGCTCTCTGACTTCTTCCCCTGTGGAACACTGACCCAGATTCCCCACACATACTTTCTTACTGGTTTTCTGGCTGTCCTCTGGGGTTAGAATGCTTTCTGCCAGGTAGCTGAAGGTCTCATCTCCTTTGGGTCTTTTCTGGGAAGGCTTCTCACTGAAACCTTCCAGGTCACCCATCAAATGCCTTATATTTTTTTCTTTTCTGTTGTTCTGTTCTTTTCTTT